CATGGCAAGCACGTATTATGTATAGCACATGAGATCTTGATAGTAGCTAGTATATGGCTACTATAAAGGTACTTTATTGGCAGTAAAACGTTGTAAATAGAGTGATGAGAGGTGTAGCTTACCCCCCACGCCCCCCGTGTGGGATGGGTGGAGTGTTATAGAGGTATCATGTAGATAGTGCATAGGTAGTACATGGCAAGCACGTATTATGTATAGCACATGAGATCTTGATAGTAGCTAGTATATGGCTACTATAAAGGTACTTTATTGGCAGTAAAACGTTGGAAATAGAGTGATGAGAGGTGTAGCTTACCCCCCACGCCCCCCGTGTGGGATGGGTGGAGTGTTATAGAGGTATCATGTAGATAGTGCATAGGTAGTACATGGCAAGCACGTATTATGTATAGCACATGAGATCTTGATAGTAGCTAGTATATGGCTACTATAAAGGTACTTTATTGGCAGTAAAACGTTGTACTGTAAATAGATTGTATGGTCATATTCTAGGTAGTGAACACTGCATGGAGGTATCCTGTTATGTAGTGCATAGGTGGCACGAGGCCAGAAATTGGGGGGTTAAAATTCGGATTTCTTGCTGAAATCCTTCGGTCATGCAACACTAAGCAAACAAAGCTCCACTTACTGCAGAGTTGCGACTTATGGCCTATTAAAAAACAAAAAACAACAACAACAACAACAACATCCATCTATTCATATCTATTAACTGTCATCGTTCAAAAACATTTCGCCCCCAGGATGCTCTCCGTCCCCGTCCCGCCTTTCATGCACAAGCCATTCAAGTAGTGTCTGCAGACCGTCCGAGCGCCTCGATTCAGGGCACCCTCCGAGGAGGTCAAACCGTCGGCCTCGGTGAGACACGCTGAAATCGCCTGGAAGCCTATCGCTGGCTGTTTGACATTGAAAGACTTGGAGATCTGGGATTTTTTGAAGCATATTATAATATTATGTGTGTATATATACGTGTATATATATATATATGTATACATTGGACTTGGAGATCTCTGATTTGTTTGAATCAAATCATATTGCATTGCGAAACAAAAAATGATTCAATTGACCAACAGACTTGGAAGTTAAACAATGGAACAAAAACGTGATTTTCGTATCCGTTAACCAACAAAGGTTGTTTTTGTTGCCAACAAAAAAGTTGAGGAGTTCTGTAGGACGAAAAAGGGTTCTCAAATAGCGAAACTGTCGATTCTACCAGAAAGCAATTGGGGATCTTTCAATTTGCACTAGGAGAGAATTGGAGATTTAACCATACAAAAACGCAAGAAACGTGGATATTTACCAACAAATAATTATCAACATTCCACCCAAAAAAAAGTTCTGTTTCCATGGTTTTAAGAAAAAAGGCGTTTGACTATTTGACTATAAAAATCCGGTGGCATGTCCCATATTTTCCCCTAAAAGAAAACAGCATCGGCCCGTTGAACTTCACCACTTCATCGAGGCTGGGGACCCGCAAGCTCTCGGCGCGGCTCAGGTCTTTGGCAAAGATGCCTTCCTGGCCACCCCCAACAGGCCCAGATGGAGAAAACCTCTGATTAAACCTGGGAAAAATGGTGATTAAACCAGAAAACTATGGTGAAAATAAGCCTCGGTGGTGCCCCCAACAGCCGCAACGTTTTATTTTTACAAATTTTTCTCTGCAACCTTCTCCGGAACCTTCTCTTGCAACCTTCTCTGGAACCCGTTGAACTTGACCTGGCCCTGCACCAAAGGTTCCCAAAACCTTCTCCGGGATCTTCTCTGCAACCTTCTCAGGAAATCTGTTGAACCTGACTTGGCTTTGCACCAAGGCTTGCTGGAACATTCTCCGGAACCTTCTCCGGAACCCTGTTGAACCTGACCTGGCTCCGCACCAAAGCCTCCCACACCTTCTCCGGAACCTTCTTCGGAGCCCTGTTGAACCTTACCTGGCTCTGCGCCAAAGCCTCCCACACCTTCTCCGGAACTTTCTCCGGAACCCTGTTGAACTTGACCCGGCTCTGCACCAAAGCCTCCTAGACCTTCTCCGGAACCTTCTCCGAAACCCTGTTGAACCTGACTTGGATCCGCACCAAGCCTCCCAGACCTTCTCCGGAACCTTCTGAACCTTCTCCGGAACCTTGCTGAACCTGACCCGGCGCCTGCACCAGTGCACACCGGAGCTATTCTGGGCTGAAGACCCCATTAGCTTATGCTGTTGGGGAAAAACAAAAGTTCAAAGATACATTTTTTCCATAACCCCGGGAAAAATGATGATTTCACTCACGGTTTTAACCAACGGATCAAGAAAAAAAACATTTTTTACCATCAGAAGTTGGAAGCTCAGCAACAAAAAAGGTGGTTTCACCAACAAACATGTGGATTGAAAAAAAAATGATAGTTTTACATGGTTTAACCGCCACAAAGTGGATTTCACCTTTGCAATGGATTTATCTAACAGTCAAATCCTCAAGCGTGGGAGTTATCTAGCAAAATTGTGAGTCATCTGACAACAATTCGGATTTAGAATGAATTTGCCATCAGTAAAGAGGATATTCAAGATGATTGACCCAATAAGAATGATAATCCCAAAATCAAACTCAAATAAACAGCTGCCTAAATCGCCAACTGCGCTGAAACCGCCTCGAAATCGAAGTCTGTGTCCATGTTGGGTTTAACCTGGCTGGAAATACAGGGATTTTGCTGCGATTTCTTCAGGAATTCATCAAAATCTGCGGAAAAAAGGAGAGATCACCAACACAAACGGCTCATCGAAAATGGGATAACTTCAAGAAAATTGGGGGATGGGTATGGAAAAAGGAAAAACGCTTGGGTTCAACGGGATATACACATATATATGACTCATTATATGACCCACAAATGATGAGAATTACGAACTTCTTCAGCTTTCTTACAAACCTGGATGGGGACACCAAAGCTCCAACCGATGACCCAAGCCCCCCAAGTGCCGAGTTTTTTTTCTGGTCGACAGGGGATTCGTCTCTATGGGGATCCCCCAAAACGAGACGGCGCTTCGAGGATAACCATGGAGGATAGGAAACCCAAAGGCTTCCAACCCACTGGACTTGACCAGCTGGACCGGATAGGCAGTCGAGAAACTAAGCATTGAATTTCATGAAATGGGGTACCCCCCTTTTAGGACACCTCCCATGAAATGGTTGCTGGGACCCAATAACTGGTCACCGCCCCACTTTCATCAAGGTTTCGGAGGATCCTCGTAGAGATGAGTCGCCGGTTAAAAAGCGAAGCCATCGCAACGTTGCGCGAACAGCTGGAAAGGATGACTCCAAACAAGTCACAAACCTGTACTACCTGGACATAAAGGAAAAAAAACAAAATAAAAGGAAAAACTAGACGACGGATGGCCCGAGAGCGTAGAGGAGCAAGGTCTTCTCTTGTTAGTATGGAGATGCAATTTTAGAAACGATATATGAAAGCTCTGTTATAGGCAGTCGAGAAGAGGAGTATCAAGACAGGATAGTGAGAAGTGCAAGACAATAGTTTGCATCGCAAACACTTTTACACACAGACGCTTTTACACTGACGCTTTTACACACAAAGCTTTTACCCACAGAAGCTTTTACACACAGAAGCTTTTACATACAGAGGCTTTTACACACAGAAGCTTTTACATACAAACACTTTTACACACAGACGCTTTTACACACAAACGCTTTGACACACAGACGCTTTTACACACAGACCCTTTTACACACAGACGCCTTTACACACAGACACTTTTACACACAGACGCTTTTGACACACAGACGCTTTTTACACACAGACGCTTTGACACACAAACACTTTTACACACAGACGCTTTTACACACAGACGCTTTTTACACACAAACGATTTTTACACACAGACGCTTTGACACACAAACACATTTACACACAGAGGCTTTTACACACAAACGCTTTTACACAAACACTTTTACACACAAACACTTTTACACACAGACGCTTTGACACACAGACGCTTTGACACACAGACGCTTTGACACACAGACGCTTTTTTACACACAGCCACTTTTACACACACAGACGCTTTTACACACAGGCGCTTTTACACACAGACGCTTCTACACACAGACGCTTTTACACTTTGCCGATCGACCCTCATTCCGGGGCAAGTAAAATCGCAATTTTACCTCAGTTTTTGCCGATCGACCTTCATTTCGTGCGAAAGGGTTGCTCCGGGGCAAGTCAAATCGCAATTTTACCTCAGTTTTTGCCGATCGACCCTCATTTCGTGCGAAAGGGTTGACGTTTCGTGACTCGCCGCCGGCACCACCCTCGGCCTTAAGAGAGAAAGATAAAAAGAAGGCATGAGAGAGAAGGTGAGCAGGTGTGAAGATAAGAAGATGTGAAGATGAGCAGATGTGAAGATGAGCAGATGTGAAGATGAGCAGATGTGAAGATGAGCAGATGTGAAGATGAGCAGATGTGAAGATGAGCAGATGTGAAGATGAGCAGATGTGAAGATGAGAAGATGTGAAGATGGGAAGGTGTGA